CCAGCGCGCCAAGGCCTGCTGCCACCTGCTCTCCCCCCCGCCCCAGAAGCAGCCCGGGAGGCGCCGGCTCAGCCAGAGCAGTGCCTGAGCCAAGCGGGCCTGGAGATGGTTGCTTGAGTGATCGCGGCCTGGTGGCCCGAGGCCGGGGAAGCCCTGTGGCCAGCCAAGCCTCTGCGGCCAAGGGGCAGGGGGCCTCCGCTGGCTCCTCCCACTTGATCCCTCATTGAATCGGCCATGCTAGGGTGGCAGCAAAGTCCCCGGGCATTGGCACAGAGATGGCACTTCCTGGGCAAGCAGGGTGTCTCCACCGCCTTGCAGCCATCGTAAGGGTCTGTAGGTTTTCAGCGGCATAATGGGCAAGCGAAGAGACCCGAGGGAAGCCTTCGGATCCCCGTTCGCCGATGCTTTTTGACCCCGATGGAAGCCTAGGAAGGGCCCAGGACCCCTTCCTCTTCTCTTCCTCAGCAGCTGATTGGAGAGGCCCCCGATGCCTGTGGGTAGCCAGGGGGCATGGGTAACCGTGCCCTCCATGAGAACTCGGTGACCGGATTCACCCACGCTGCCGGACTAGCCTGGGATGGGGTGGGCCGGTTGGTAGCTCCACGTGTGGTGGGAACCCGGGCGCCCCACGAAACCGGAATCTGACGTGTTGGTTTCAGCTGCGCCTGCCGGGGAGACGTAGCATCTGTGCAGGGTTTAGCACGCGTGAGCGCAGCCAGTGTGTTTCCGGAGGGTCGCTAATTTGGGGTTTGAAAGCCGTGTGGAGAAAGTCACCTCGGGTTTGCTTTAAAACCAGGTACAGTTCAAAGAGAGGCCTCATATTTCCCAGTCACAGAACTCATCTTGGGCTTTTCGTTCATTCAACCTTCCTGGGCACATTCATGGAGTTTCCCCGGCAGGGGCTTCGAGGGGGTTTCCGTGGAGGGACATTATTCTCAGTCTAGCCTACTGGCCTGGATTTCTGGTGGTCTGTCACCCAAGTAGTAATCAGCCTCGACCTGCCTCTGTCTGAAGATCAGCCAAGCTCCACCAGGTGCTTCCACCTACGGTAGCCACGAATGCAGTGTGCAAACATAAATAAGTGCCTTGCTTCCCCTCCACAAGTCCCATCATCCTTGCTAAAGATTGTTAGGCTTCTAGGCCAGGTGCCCCCCAGGTGTGTAAAGTCTGCAAGCTCCATAAGCCTCTTCCTGGAGGGCCTGCCCCATGCAAGGGTGGTGGGAAATGCGCTCCAGGTCACCTGGCTTGCTCCCCCCACGTTGGGCTATCAATGGCTCCCATCCAGCCCCATGGAAGTCTTTCTGGAAAGCAAACCTGAGTGCCTGGAGCAAAATGCAAGCCACAGGGATGAGGGTCTCACGTGTCCTACTGGGCAACGGAAGGGCCTGGTGATTATAAGGAAAGACGGAGGGAACTTCGGAAGACCTATACGCGGTGCTGGAAGAGAAGCCCATCTTCTCCACCAATCCAGAAGCCCCCTGACGGTCCTCGGGGGCCCAGCCACGCTTGGGCCACAGAAAGTCACCCCTCCTCCTGCCGCTCACCTCCCAACCCCGCCCCTAGCCAAGTATCCACTCAAAAGACAGGGAGGGTTCCCTCGGGACAGTGAGTGCTTCTCAACCTCGGCAGCTTTAAGGCGGGTGGGCTTCGGTTCCCAGAATTCCCCAGCCAGCAGTCCACAGAGCTTAAAGCTGCTGAGGTTGCCTCAGGGGCCGTCCTCCTGCCCGCACAGCCCCTTCCCCCCCGCTTCTCCGGCGCCGGGCGTTGCTTCGTCCCTGCATCCGAGAGCTGGGCTCTTGGTCCCGCCCCTCCCCTCCCCTCCCCTCCGCTCCCCTTGCGAAGGGCAGCAAAGGGAGCTGCCGCGCCTGGCTGCGGCAGAAGGGACCCTAAGCCATGCTCGGATTCTCCGGGGTTCCTCCTCTTTTTTTCTTTGTCCTTTTAAAAGTGGCTGTCGGTTTGTGTCATTCTTTTTGTGCTGATGTGCTCCTGTTTGCTTGTCACAGTAAGCGGCTCTGAATCATTTATCAACAGTCTGCTGTGCTATCTAACGCAGTGAGGCCAAGGTAACGCTGAGCTGGAAAGCCCTGCTGCCCCCCCCCCGCCTTTCTTTAGGAGGCCTTTCCTCTCTGCTGGAAACATTTAGACGTTGCTGCTTTGCAGAACTTGGAGGCGCCGTCTTCGCTTGAGCTCGCTGAGCGAGCAAACAAGCAGAGGAGTCCGGGGAGGGGAGGGGAGGGGAGGGGAGGGGAGGGGAGGGGGCAAAAGCGTCAGGAAGGAGAGACTGGAGGGGGAGAGGCAGACGGGTTGCTGCTGCTGACCATTTCCTGAGCCTGCTAATTGCCCACTGTGGGTGTGCGTCGGAGCTTTGCCTGTTACTGGCCTAGCTGAGGCAGCTTCAGGGGACATATAAGGAAGCTAGTTCACCAGGGAGAACAGTTCAGTGGAGGAGATAAAGTGGAGGCGCTTCTTTGGCCTGCTTGATTTCAGCAGAGAAGCATGGAGATGGAGAGGAGGCTCCCGGGACCCGCGGGGGATGCGCCAGGTTTATTTTCCATTCTGAAGATGACAAGCATTATGCACAGATGCCACAAATGCAGGCCGACAGCCCGCCCCACTCCTGCCACAGAGAAGGTGAAGGGCTGAGAGGCAAAACTTTGTGCGCTGGGAGGAAAGGAGGACAGATGCTGGGGCGGTGGGGATTGGGGCCCCCTCCCAGCAGCCTATCAGCCACAGCGTCTGTCGGGTGAGGCGTTTGACGGGAGACAGAGACCCCTTCCTCCTGATCACACCTTGGGACCCTGCAAGGGATGACGAAGAGGTGCAGAGGTGTTTGCAAAGGACGTGGCCGGGAAGAGCGAGGTGGGGGCAGCGCCTGGCAAGGAATGGGTTGTGCCTCGGAGGAGCGGAGGGAGAGGAGAGCCGGGAGAGTGGCAGGACACCAAGTCTGGGGCTGCGCTTTGAAGGTGGGTCAGGTGTGGAGGTGCCCAGGAACGAGCGTGTAAATACAGGAAGGGAGCAGTCAGGTTGCGTGTCCCAGCGACTCCAGTCTCTCTGTAGGGAGCATGCAGAGTACGGGGAACAAACAGGAACCTTCATGCAGGGAGGCAGACAGGATTTAGTAGGTATTACTACAGTGCAAGGATTGGGGGTCAGGACTTACTCAGAAGGAAGAGCAGGCAAAGGGGCAGTTTCTTTCAGCCCGTTAGTCACAGGCGGGCTTGTGCCCCAAAGGCTGCTCCAGTTTGCGCCACTCCAGAGCTGGTGCCTGGCGACCACACTCTGCATCAAGGCCAGGAAGGGGCCCCATTGGCAGCAGAAGCAATTCCTTTCCTCCGGGGCCTGTTCCCTTTGGGGGGCTGGGGAAGAGCCAGCGCAGGCAGCCTCCGGGGTGTTTGGGCTGCTTGGGGGAGGGGTGACCACGCTGGAACCGCATCTGCAAAGCAGGCATTGCCGCCATCTTGGTGCCAAAGTTCTTCTCGCGTGGGTGATGGGACACACTGTGCCCAGAGCAGCCCAGTCCACCTTATTCCTAGCCCTGCTGCTGGAGCGGAGCGCCCATCTTACACAGGCCCTAACCACATTTGACTGGAAGGGGAGGGGCTCTGCTGGCTCTTGAGCTCTGCCCCCCCGCACACCCGCTGCCACCCGTGTGCGTGCGTGTTCTTCCGAGAGAGCAAGAAGGTACGTGGTGGGGTGTCCCGCACTAGGTCCTCAGGAGGAAGGGAGGTGGCAGGGCCCCATGGCTTTTGCCTACAAAAGAGAACTTCTACCATGACAGGCAGCGCCGCCTAGCAGTGTGCGGCTCTTGTGGAAAAAAGGCAAATTCTGTGCTTGGAGTCATCAAGAAGGCAAGCAGAGCTAAAAATGACCTTATGCAAAGCTATGCTGAGAGCGCCCTTGAAGTCTCCTCCCCTCTCCTGGCACTGCCCCTTTGGAGGGGCAACCCAAACGGTTGGGGGCTGCAGCAGCACGCCGGGGTCCTATAGCTTAGGGGAAAGGAGGGGAAGGAGGCAAGACCGAGGTCCATAAAAACACGCAAGGCACTTGGGGAGTGGGAGAGCAAAGCTTTGCTCCTCTTACTTGGTGGAGAACTTGGGGTCATCCCTTGAAATGGTGCTGGGCTGACACAGTTCAAGGCTGGAATCCACTTCTAGTGGTCGTGGGGATGATAGCCATTTGGAGGAATTGAAAAGGGGTCTGGAGAGGTTCATGGAGGACCGAGCTCTCGGTGGCTCTTTCCCCTTCCTGAATCCCAGGCGACGGGCCCAAAATACTGATTGTTGGGGGGTGCCAGGGATGGAGGCTCCTGCCCTGCAGTCCAGGCTTCCAGGCTCCCCAAAGGCATCCAGCAGGCCCCTGGGGGCCCCAGAAAGATGGAGCAGGTGGACTGAGAGCCCCTCCTAGCAGGGCTCTTCTTTCGCTTCTGTGGCCTGTTGCACAGTCGCTGCTGGGGGAACAGTAGTGGTGGGGCCTTGAGCGCCCCATGGGTAGGTCTCACCTGAGGATGTAATTTCTGCCAGTGACTCAGATGTCTTCTAAGGGCCAAAAGGTCCATCTGACAGTTGTGGTAGAACAATAACTCCCCAAGTAATGCCGAACAACTGGAGAGGATCTAAGTGCTGGTTTTATTCTGCAAAGCC